GCTGGGATTACAGGCGTGAGCCACTGCGCCTGGCCTAAACAAATACTTTCAACAGAATGATCTTATCCCCTAGCACAGCATCAACCCTGGGTGGGAGGAGGGGTAGTCAGTGGAGGCTTTCTGGAAGAGGAGGTGCCTAAGATCAGTCTTGAAAGACAAGAGAGAATTAAGCAGACTGAAAATGGGGCAGAGTGCTATCAGCAGATGAAACAGCATGAACAAAACCAGGGAGGCATGAAGCTGTGTGAAGTGATTATTGCCTTGTGCTGTGATAACACACACCCCAGCCCAGGGTGGAGGGAGAGGATTCTGGAGGCTCAGTGGGGCACTGGGCCGGTGGGTCACCCTTAGCAGTTTGATTTCATCTTACAGGTTCTAAAGCTGGAGAGTGGCTTGTTTGGATTTGCATTTTAAGTGGTGACCCTGGCAGCAGTGTGGCAGCTGACTCAGTGAGCAGAGGCATGAGGCAGGGGAGGCTGTTGCAATAACCCAGACAGGAGATGATGAGGGCTTGACCTTGGGCTGTGGTAGCGGGACAGGGAGAGGGACGGGTTGAGAAACATTTAGGAGGTCAAGTTGTCGGAACCCAGAGACTGATGGGATGTGTGTGGGATGAGAGGGAGGAATCAAGGTGGCCTTGTCCTAGGGCTGAGCAGTGGTGCAACCCAGCCCTGAGGAATTCCGGGGGTGGAGCTGACTTGGAAACTCAAGGCTGATCTCAGGTTGAGACATGGTGAGTCTGAGGTGCCTATGAGGTGTTAAGGTGGCCACAGAACCCCAGGAGGCAGCTGGAAACCCAGGGTCTGGAGAGTAGGAGAGGCTGAGCCAGACGTGTAGGTCTGGAAAGGATAAGCCCACAGCAGTGGTGGAACCACAGGGGTGGTGAGACGGTCCAGGAAGACACACAGAGGGAAGAGGGGAATCTCTCCCTGCCATCCCTGACCTCTAGGGAGTGGGTGGAGGAAGGGGCACCCGCAGGAGAGGAGGGATGGTCAGAGAGGTAGGAGGCTAGCAGAAATGGTGATGTTACGTGGGCCCAGGGAGGACACAGCTGTTAAGTGTGAGGATGTGGGGGACTGCACTGAACGCAGTAAAGTATCCCACAAGAAGAGGACGGCAAGTGGCCCGCCAGGGAGACACAGAGGTTAGGGAAGATCTCCTTAGGATGGGAGAGACGTGAGCACGTGCAGAGGCCTGGTGGAAGTGGGAAGTCTTGGTAGAGAGGGACATGCTGTAGGCCAGGGAGAGATGGGCGAGGTTTCAGAGCGGGCTTGCCCAGCACCTCACTGCAAGGGTGGGCTGGGAGGCTGAAGAGGGACCTTCCTTACCCTCTGATTCAGGACAGAGGATACTCAGGATGGGTGTGGGGCTGTGTTTGGAGGCGGGGCAGGGCAGCAGGTCCCACCAAAGGGCCTTCATATTTTGATGAAGCCAGGTGTCTCTGGGAATTGAGGTGGGCAGAGGGAGAAGGGTGAAGGTCAGCGAGGCAAATAACCCGTGAGGGAAATGGGAGGCTAGCAAGCAGGCAGAGGACCTTGGGTTCACGTCCAGGGTGTAGTTGAGACTGGAGACCCCAGGTTGACACTGGCCCCAAATCTTCATGGTGTGGGCCCTTGCCACACCAAGCTTGCCATGTAAAGAGTGTGGTTGGGTTGGCCCCTGTGAAGTCTGGCTGGGTGGACGAAGGGAAGGATAGGGTATTAAGAAATCAGGGGTGCTGGTGAGAGGGTAATTCTGATGACCAAACCATTGGAGCAGTTGGAGAATGTGGTCAGAGGGAAAGAAGAGATGTTGGGGTTAAGATTGAAGGGGAGAAGCAGTTTTGAGTGGTGGCCTGGGATTGGGGGCTGGACTTGAGTAGGCTAGAGGGTCCCTGGAGAAGGGTGCTGGAGGTCCGGGGAGTCCAGGTATTGGACGGGTCACCCACATGGATGCTGAAGGCCATCAGCTGCTGACAGACCTCGGACAGGGAAGGAGAGGCAGTGATCTGAGGCTGGGCAGTTCAGGAGCAAAAGATGCTGGCTAGGAAGGTAGGATCCAAGAGGCTGGGAGAGAGGGGAAAGTAGTAGAATCAGGTGGCATGAACCCTAAATGAGAAAAAAAAAACATTCTAGGGCAGGGCGCAGTGGCTCATGTCTGTAAACCCAGCACTTTGGGAGGCTGAGGTGGGCAGATCACTTGAGCCTAGGAGTTCGAGATCAGCCTGGGCAACATGGCAAGACCCTGTCTCTCAAAAAAAAAAAAAAAAAAAAAAAAAAAAGGAAACAAAAAAGAAAAATCCCCATCCTGTGGGGCTGATGGCCTCACAGTCTGGAAACACCCCTAGGGATGTGAAAGGGATGTGGGGATCTTGGGAACCACACAAGGGAGTGAGATGTAGGAACAGAAAGAGCCGCCCCAGAGAGGACAGAGGAGATGGGTCACGAGCGGCAAGGCCTCCATCACAAGGCCGAGGACGGAGGGGTTGCTCTTAAAGGAAGTGGGGTCCCAGAAGGGCCAGTGGGGAGGTCCGGGAAGGCAGGTTGGTGAGGCAAAGTGCAGTGACAAGGGAGATGACTAAAGGAGGGTGCATCGTGAGCTGTCAGCAAGTATGCAGGGGTGGGTGGTGCGGGGCAGGCTTTCCGAGAGGCAGGGGGATGAGTGGGAGATTCTCTGGTGAATACAGGAGGCAACAGGCAGGGAAGAGTGGTCAACAAGCGGGAACTCATTCGTTCTGCAAACACTCATGGGGGCTTCCTATGCTTGGGATGCATCAGTGAACAAAGTGACAGTCCTCACTCTTGTGGGTCTTACACTCTAGCTGGAGGGGGTGGGGGCCAGAAAACATCACAAATACAGTCAGAGGTGAATTGTAGAGTATGTTAGAGGGCCATGAGGCTGTGGCCAAAAGAACAAGCTGAACGGAGCCAAATGGAGTTGTGCAGGTGGTGGGGGCAGGGGCTGGGGGAGCCACTTTGAAGTTGCTGTGTAGTGGTCAGGGCAGGCCCGGGTGAGGCTGGCGCTCTAGGCCCATGCAGAGTTCCATCTAGTTTGACAGGAATGGCAGTGGGGCTGGGGATCTTGGGAGAGGCACCTGTATGATTGCTCTGCTGTGTGGTACATGGGAAAATCTCAAGACAAGAATCTTCAGTATGGGTGAGAAGGGATGAGAAAAAGAAGCAGAGAAAGCAGAAGAAAACCAATATCCACAGGCACCTGCGGTGGGCCAGGCACTGCCCTGGGGATGGCCTCTTGAATCAGTCTCTCCTGACCCTCAAGACAACCCTGTGAGTTAGGAAGGAACTGTCCTTATGGGTCCAGTTTATTGAAAAATAATGGCACCATCAACATGAGCTAACGCTTAGTGCTATCCTGAACAGTTTGCCTGGATTTTCCTAATGCACCCTCCTAAGCTCTCAATGAGGCTGGTGTCACTGTCTCCATTTCCTAATAACAAGTCTGAGGAAGCTGGGAAGTGTCAGTGCAGTGGCCAAGCTCGAGGACCCCGCAGCCAGCCTGGTGTGCTGGCTTCCCTACTTATCAGCTGTGTGGCTTTCCGCAATTCCTTAACCTTTCTGGGCTCAGCTTCCCAACCTGGAAATGAGGAAAGTAAAAACACCTGCTTTGCAGGGTCGTGGTAAAGATTAAATGAGGAAATATATGGAAAGCACGCAGAACAAGCCCCTGCACCTAGTGGGCGCTGTGCAAGGGTGCACTGCTACTATAGTACAATTCCTGCCTAAGCTCACTTAGGTAGGAGAGGGCTTTGACCTGGAGCCTGGTGGGACCGACCCTGGCCTCTTCCCGGCTGACGCTTTGCTCTTTGTGGTTCTGGACTTGCAGAGCCAGGCTAGGGAGGAAGGAGCTGTGTGGCTCCCACCAGGCCTGCTTCTTTGCGGCAGGCATGTGACATATTGTGGCGTGATGTGTTTTCCCCTCATGGTGCAAGACGTGACTCAGAGGGGCATGCTGGGGAAATGAGTTTCTTGGATTTGCCCACCTCGTCGCCCCTGCATTCTTTTGAATTTCTCTGAATCAGACTTTATATCTGGCTCTGCCATTCACCAGCCTTATTTATGCAGAAAACAGCCCCACATTTCCAACTTGCTCCGCAGCAGTAAAGATTCATCTTTGGCCCGGGGAGGGTAGCAAAAGAGAGGAGGGAAGGGGAAAAAAAGGAAAAAGAAAGAAAAAAGAAGGAAGGAAGGAAGAAAGAGCCAGCAACAATCAAAACAACCTTTTTCTCCCTGTGTAATCTGGGCGGATTCCAGGAGGATAATGTCTTTCCACCGTGGATCGCCCCCTCCCTCCCAGGCTGTTTTCGCAGGAAGTAAATCCTGGAGCATTTTCAATGTGCCCCTCCAGGCAGAACAATGAGGCCCTTGAAGCCTCGGAACCCGCGCTTCCTCCAGTTATCCGGAGCCGCGCGGCGGAGGGGAGCCATCTCTGGGGAGGGGGCAGGGAGGAGGGGCGAGTCTGCAGGGCGTTGCGGAGCCGCACGAGGGAAGCCCATTAGTCAAATAATAGGTTTGGATCCGACTGTTTTGCCAAGGTACCCGGCATTTATCCCGCTCCCCGATTGGGGGCGGGGAGCTGGGAGGAGGCGGCGAGGATCCAATTACGGCTGCTCCTGCCCGGTCGCCGGGAGGTGGCTGCGGGCCGCATCGGCCCGGGCCCGGCCGGGCGGGGCCGGGAGGAGCGAGGATCGCGGATCGGGAGCGCAAGCCTCGGGCCGGCCGGCCTGAAAACACCGCGCCCAGGCCCCGGCCGCAGCCCGGCGCCCTGCGCGGGCTCCTCCCGCCCCGCCGGCTCAGCTGCCTCATTGTTTATTGTGGAGCCTGCCTCTCCCTTGCCCGCCCGCCCTCCCGCTCCTTTCTCCCCTCCTCCCGAAAGAAAGAAGAGCCAGTGTGTGGAGAGAATGAGTCATGAATAAACAAACAGCGTGGGGGGAGCTGTCACTCCCAGCTCACTTCCTGGCCGCGCTCCGCTCCGCGACCTCCTGGCGGGGCGCAGAAGCCAGGCTGGCCGCGGTGGGCGGTGGCTGCTGGGGCCGCTGGGGCGCGCGGCCCAGCTCAGTCGGGCCCTTCCGCGGGGCTGGGCTGGGCTAGGGTGCTCAGGAACCCAGTTCCCATGCCGGTCCTTGACCACAGCCCTCACAAGCCTCATGGCCCTTGGAGTAAGCGTGCGTGACATGATGTCCCCAGACCTGTATGGCCGTGTGAGCCGTGAGCCGAGGGCTGTAGGCTGGACCCTTGGGTTGGACAGAAGCCATCTGCCACAGACAGGCAGTGCATGCGGGACCTGTGGCGGGCTTGAGGCGCCTGTGTGGGCTCATCCTCTGGGAATGCCAGTGTGTGTCTGCTGAGTTGTGTAGGCGTGGCTTTTTCCGCGTGATACACGGACACTGCGAGGATGTGTCTATATGGCGTGTGTGTCTTCTGCATATGGTGTTTGTCTGGAGTGGGGGTTACACATGTGCGCTAGTGATCTGTGTGTGTGTGTCTGTGTGTGTTGTGTGACCAATTTTCCTGACTCTGAATTTGCGTCTGCCACTTTAAGTTTTGAGATTTTTGCTTTGTACTTGGCTTTTCTCTATTTAGTCCTTTTTCTTCTCTCTTGTGTGATCCTGTGGGTCATTTGGGGCCACCTCTCCCCATTAGTGAGGCCCCAGGGCCCCAGCAGACCTCCAGGGCCCGGCCTGGCTGGCCTCAGCGTCCAGCCAGCTGTGGCCACACGCAGGCTGACAGTGCTGACTCATGCCTGGCCAGAGCTGAGTGTGACCAGCGCGTCCAGGCTGGGTGAGCCCCCACTGTGGGGAGGGCAAGGGCCCAGGTCAGCCCAGACCTTCTGGGGACTTGTGACCGCATGGCGTTAGAGGCAGGGGCAGGAGTAAGTCATTTCTTCTGGCTTCCCTGGCAGCCGCACAGCCTCACAGGGGTCCACCCCAGGGACAGTGCTGACGGCTGGGCCTTCGGAAAGGTTAGTGTGACCAAGACAAGGCTGTGACTCAAGCTACAGCTCAGGCTCCTGCTGCTTGGCTGGGTCTAGAACCTTCCCAGCTCTGGCCCTGCTCCCTCTCCATGGGCTGGCCCCAGCTCCCAAAGCTTCCCAGTTCCAGGTTGGAGATTTGCATGCAGGGACAGACCCCCCCGAGGCTGAAGCAGGGCACGAGTTTGCTCCTTCCCCAGGATTGCTCACTCCTGCAGCCCCCCAGCCAGCGCTTGCTTGCTGGACTTGGTCTCCTGGCGCTGGAATCGTAGCCTTGGTTGTGACCTTGATCAGGGAGGCAGGCTCCAGGGCCACAGCAGGCCAACCCTGGCTACTTCCCAGTCTTTCCCATCCTTCAGGGGGCAGGTAGTTGGGAAGATTAGGATCCACATAGGTTGGGAGGCAGGTGCACATGGGGTCACAGCCTGGCTCCTTCATCTGCTAGCTTTGTGACCTGGGGAAAGTCATATAACCTCTCTGAACCCCTTTTTCCTCTACTTTAAAATGTGTATAGTGACCCTTACCCCATGGAGAGGTTGCAAAAGGGCTCAGGAAAGGACAGTGTACTCTCTGTCTACCCCCAGGCCTGCCCTGAACCCTGGTCTCAGGGCCCAGAATTTTGCCTGTCCAAGCGTGTTGGTCCATGACCCAGGGAAGTGCTGGGTCCTGTGGACCTTGGCTGAAATTTGAAAACTCCAGTCCTACATAGTACATAGGGGTCTCTGAGTCCCAGGGAAGCATGGGGTCTGGACTGGCCGTTAGAGGCAAGCTGGTCTAGGAAGGACAGCTGCAACACACAGCTTCTTTCTGGATCTTTCCTTGTGGGGAGAAGTCTGCACCCCTCAGGTCTTAACTCTGGCTCTACTGGGCTGGTCTCCACTTGAGGACAATTTTTTTTTTTTTTTTTTTTTGAGACAGAGTCTTGATGGAGTGCAGTGATGCAATCTCAGTTCACTGCAACCTTGACCTCCTGGGCTCAAGCGAACCTCCCACCTCAGCCTCCCAAGGAGCTAGGACTATAGGCACATGCCACGATGCCCAGCTAATTTTTCTTTATTTTTTTGTAGAGATGGGGTCTAACTGTATCGCCCAGGCTTGTAGACAAATTTTGTTTGGCCTACGTGAGATTAAAAAAACCAAAACACAAAAAAACCAGCCGATATTTAGGAATGAAGGCATTTCACATGAAAGTGTGAATTTTCAATTTTCCTCAAATAATTGGGGAGTTTGGCCACACTGGGCTCACGTTTTTATGTGGCAACTGTGGGCAGGAACTGAGCAGCGGAGGCCCCTTCAGGCGGGTGTGTGTTCTCCAGTTTATCACAGTCTCCACTGCTCCCTATTGCACTGGTTCTCAAACTTGAGCATGTGGGAAAATCCCTTGGAGGGCTTGTTAAAGTACAGATTAGTGGATCCCACTCCAGAGTTTCTGTTTCAGTGGGTCTGGGGTGAGCCTTAGAGTTTGCCTGAGAATTTCTCACAAGTTCCCAGGTGCTGCGGCTGCTGCTGGTTTAGGGCCCCCTTTTGAGAACTACTGGGTCACCTGATGCTGAGGCTGACTGGGGCTGGTCTCAAACTCCTGACCTCAGATGATCTGCCCGCCTCGGCCTCCCAAAGTGCTGGGATAACAGGCATGAGCCACCCTGCCCCGCCAGAAGTATATATTTCTTTGGAGACAGAAAAGATATTCCCTTGTGATTATATGCAAACGATTTGCATATATGTCAAATAAACACAACTTCAGGAGCACCGTGAGGCCTGCCCTGAGCATGGCCTGAGGATATGCTGCTTGGCCACTCTGTGTACTTGTTGCTTTACCTGTCCACCTCACTCATTGACTTTGTCTGCTTGACCCTGCAGGTGTTTTGAGTGTGTGACCCCAGCTGACTACAGTTTATTCATTAATTGAACAACCATGATTTGAACCAGTTCTATTGCCACACTGTGTTAGGGTATGAAGACAGTGAATAAGACAGACCTAATCCCTACCCTCCTGGGGCTCCCAGAGTATTGGGACAGATAGACAAAACAAATTGAACTAGTAGGTAAAGGAAGGAATTGCATGTTGTGGTAACAGATCAGGATGCTGAGATGGAGAATAATGGGTTATATCAGGACCTCTTTTAGTCTGGGTGGTCAAAGAAGGCTCTCTAAGGTTCCCATGCTAGGAGGCGTGGGATTGGGAAGCAAATGAAATCTGGATCTCTAGAGATCTCACCCTGCTTCAAAGCCCAGCTCGCGTTCACCAAGCCCAGGGAGCATCTTGACCTTCTGACCTGTGTGTGCGCACTCTGACCTCAGCTCTGCTTGCTGCCCTACACCTCAGGGCCAGCCACACAGAGCCTCTGTTGTTACTCAGTGGCTTCGTGAAGCTCCACATGTGTTTGAAAGGCCACACCACACTCTGGCAGTTTACTTTGTCTCCCTGGACCTCAGAACCTTTAGGGGCATTTTGCCCTATGCTCATGTGCAGATGAGGAAACTCAATCCAGCACTTCCGGTGTTCCCCACTTCCCAGTTAGTCAAAGGGCAGGACTTTTCCTTTCCCTTAACTTTCCTCTGAGCCCAGTCCAAGGCTGAGCACAGAGCAGGGCATGGGACTGGGAGCTGACACTTCTCACATTTGCATCTCCTAAAATGGCTAAAGAATCTTGGCTAGTTACAGCAAACCAGTGGCACATCCTTCCCGTACTGTGCTTAACATCATTCAATGATAACCCTTTCCCTTTGAGCCCCCATATAGCATCAGAATCTTCTCAACACAGGAAACCGATGCCAACGAATTGGAGTTGACTTTGGGGATTAAATTTAATATCATGTGGGCCTCATCTGGCCTACCAACTAAGTAGAGACCCGGGACATGGACCCAGGGTGGAATTTCAGGCACCTGAGCTAGGTGTGGAGCTAGGAGCCAGACTGGCCTGTCAGCTAGAGAAAAGAGAGCTATGGGAGGTTGACAGGTGGCCCAGGGTGAATTCTGACCATAGTGTCCCTCTGAAGGAGGAAGCATGGGGTATGAGGCGGTGAGGCAGAAGTGAGGACCCAAGATGACTGGGCTCGGGGTGGGAGGTGGGTCTGGCCAGGGATGCCTGAGGGCTGGCAAAGGGCTTCTTCAGCTCTGCTAGGAGTGAGGACATGAGGGAGCAGAGCCTGCTGAGACCCGCCCTCCTGCCCCACCCAGGCTGCAGTGCTATCTTCCCAAAAGGCTACAACAGCCCCCACCCTGAGTTGCAAGTGAAGGTAGCTTAGGGCACTTTGGAGGGCCCCTTTTCTAAGCAAAAGAAGCTTTTATGGAAATTAAATTGTGGATATTTGTATTCCAGGAACATCAATATATTTAATAGAGCTGAGGCCATTAGGAGAATGCATAGAGATACCGATGGTCCCGAGTTCCCAGAGAACTGTCTGAATGTCTTGTAGCCCTGCTCTGCACAGAGGTCTGGCCAAGGGGTGGGCCTGGCTCCCAGGGGTCCAGACCCCAGGGCTGAAAGTTAGCAAGACGGAACAAACACAAGGGCCTCCCTGCCTCCCTCGGCCAGCTCCCAGGCCCTGGTATGCCTTCCCACTGCTCCTGGCCCCATTACCCAGCTTTGGGATGGGGCAGGGTGTGGGTGCAGCTCTGCGAACCGGGCTCTCCTTGAGGATGGCCTGCACACGTCGTCTGTTCGCTCACTTTCCCATCGCTGGTGTCTGGCCCTTGAACGAAGGAATGATTGACTGACTGAATGAATGGCACTTCTCTTTCCGAGAGCTTGTTGTGCCTTCATGCTTGTGGAATGCCTGTTGTCTCTGCTACACCTTAAGCTCTGTGAAGGCAGGGCTGAGCCTGGGAGCTCTGCTGCCGTGTCCCAGAGCTGAATGAGCACATCCTCGTGGAGTCACAATGAGCCAAAGGAAAGGTCACGTCTTCGTACTGTGCCCTTTGGGCTGTGTTGAGTCCTGGGTCTGGTCCACAGTGGGCCTCGGGCAGTTCTGGAGCTAGGGCCTTGGTAGCCCCTGAGCATTAGGGACACTCCAGCTGCTGGTCAGGGCTCACTATTCCCTCAGTGCCCCTGTGCGCCCTGCTGCCATGCCTTTGCTTCTCTGAGCTCCATACTTGGAGCTCCCTTCCCTGCTCCATTTCACTTCATTCAAAGTCCTCTTGGTTCAGCGCCCCGGCCACCTCCCCTGGGAGACGTTGTCTGGGGAGGCCTCTTTTTCTCCTCGGCCCTCACTCCCCAAGGATCTTGCGGTCCTTGCAGGATCCACAGTTCACATACTGGTGACTGGGAAGGCTGAGGCCACCACACTTTCTGCAGGCTGTAGGGGCAGGTGAGGGGCTGCGGCTCTGGGGCACATCCTTGCTGGACAGGTGAGCAGCTCCAAAGCTGTTTGGGGAGATGCCTGTCCCTCACCCTCTCTGGGAGGGGTGTGGGATGCTCACCACCAAGCAAGGGAACACATGTGGGAGCCCCTGCTCACTTTCCTGCGTGTGGGCTGCGGGCAGGGACACACTTGGCCTCTTCCCTCCGTGACCTTTCCTCCTGAGCTTCAGTGTCAGGTGTCAGGCTTTGAAGGCTGGAAATGCATGGCGCATGGTGCAATGTCTGGATCTGCACCCCTACTGGATGGGTAGGGTCTGGGGTGATTTGGCCTCTTGGAGTTTCAATTTCCTCGGTTGTAAAATGGGATGCCTTATTCCATCTCTTAAGGTTATTATGAAAATTACAGGTGTCAACAGGACTACTCCCTCCTGCCTCAGCTTCTCTCTGCCTAGAGTGTTTTTCCTTTCCTGGTTGCCTAGATAGCTCTTATTCATTCTTTAGAAGATCTGGGCTCAGTGTTATTTCCTCTAGGAAGCCCTCCTTGGTTCTGAGTTCCAGACAGGTTCCCACACTGTAGAATCCTGGTCTCTTCTTCTGTGTTTCTTACCTATATGTGAGTCTCTATTTAGAGATGGTGCCCCGCAGTAGACTGTGAACTCCATGAGGGCAGGGGCTGTGTCTGCTGCATTCCCCATCATGTCCTTGTACCTAGCCTGGGACCCAGAACTTCAAAGGCAGTTGGGGAGTATTTGCTAAGTAAATAACAAATTTGAAGTGCCTCATGCCAAGTTAGGATCCCCCAAATAGCAGCTCTTATTAAATGTGGCCCCCAGAGGCCATGTAACCACTCCTCATTTCAGGCCGTCGGTGGGATGTTATATTGCCAGGAAGCTTGGCATCCGGCCTGTGCCAGTCCACCTGCCCTGGGGAAATGCCCACCCATGCTGCACTTTGCTGTCCTCTCAGCCCCTGGTGCAGGGAGGGCAGAAAAAGAGCCAGGTGAGGTGTGCCTGAGACCTGAGTCCCCAGTGCTGGTCCCTGCCTGAAGTTCAGCTTTGTGCGCTAGGTCTTCTGGGATCCCTCGTGGTCAGGAGGGCAGGTGGGAAGTCTGAATCTGCACACATCTGGCTGACTTTCTCACTGGATAGACAGGCCTTGTCTGCCCCTAAGCCCACAGCTAACAGGGTCGTTCTGTGCTCACTGAGGTCACCGTGCTCAGCCTGGGTTTCTGGTGTCATTGTCTGTACTCCTCAAGCTGTGTTGGGCTTCTGAGTCCACTTGTGACCACAGATGTGGTGCTCATGTCCCCTTATCAAGCCATCCGGGTCCTAGGTCTTCTATCTTAGTCCCCTGGGCCTCAGTTTCTTCATCTGTTAAATAGGAATGTGAACCTCATGAGATGAGTGGGATTTTGAGGATTCAGTGGAACAACTAGTGCCCACAGCTCTTTACAGTATGTAAAACCTGTCTTATCTGTTTCCTGACAGAATGCAGAGCTCTGTCTCTGGCGGAGCTGGAGACAGATGGGCACTGGGAAGGTGAGATACCCACACAAGAAAGTTTAGAGTGCTGTGGCGTGGGTGCAGCTCAGGTGGGGATGGGCAGCACTCGTGTGGATGCGATATACATGGGCTCTTTGTGATACAGCTCCGTGGTGGTACCATGGTCTCGGGCAGACAGACAACTGACAGCAAGTTCTGCTGAATTCTTGGAGGAGACAGTGTCTGGAGCAGTGGTCTCTGCAAGGCCGCAGCTTACCTGGCCCTCTCAAATCGGTCACTACTGTCTAGGGCGTCCCCAAGCATCAAGAATAACCCCGCCTTGGAAATCCTTTGCCCTGGTTCCCTGTTCTACTCAGGCAAGGGCCTGCATGGCCTGAGGGCTGGACACACTCGGGTGGGGACACACCTGCCTGTCTGCTGACATGTGCACACATGTACAATGTGTGTGCACACGTGCATACATACAGTACTCTAGATTGACCCCCTCACATGCATGGACCTGAGTGAGTATCTCATGTCTTTTTCTATGTAGGACACACGGAAAAATGATTCCCAAGCAATTTCCAGGAAGAATATTCTATCTAGTTCCCTCTCACCTCCCACTACCTCCATTTTATAAACTGGGAAACTGAAGTCAGAGAGGGTAAGTGGTTTGCCCAGGGTCCCACAGCAGGAGCAGCAAGTGTGACACCAGCAAGATGTCCTAACCTGTGTCTGGGATGTCCCCACCAGGTGGCTTCTGTCTTGCCAGGGAGTGTGTTACAGCAAGCTCGCCTCAGCTCAGCAACCCCATTTTACAGATGGGCAAAACTGACCTGGCCATAATCTCATTCAAAGGGCACCCGTATCTCAGATCACGCAGAGTCGAGACTCACAGGCTCTGAGTGGGAGCTCTGGGCTATGGGTTTTGCCCCACATTGCTGGGAAGTTCCAGGGGTGTAGCTGCTACCGGGAGAGTGCATTCAGACTGTAACTTACAAATGAAAAGGTAATTTAATACACAGGGTTCCATGCAGGAGCCCAGGGCCAACCTTTCCCTGCAGCCACCCACCTGCAGCTGCCTGCCTCAAGGGCCCTGTCCACCAGCTTGGGGCCCCTGTGGCTAGCCAGTAGCCCTGCCTGGGCCCCCTCCCCGCCCTGCCCCCAGTACTGCTGACACAGGCTCCTTCCTGGTCTCTCACCTCCACAGCCCTCTCCCGCCCTCCTGCTGGCTGGCTGCAGTAACAAGATGCCCTTTGTGTGTGCCGGCAGGGGAGGGGGCTGTGGGCAGGCTCCTGCGCGGCTTCTTGCTGCTGAGTCACAGCTCCCCGCCAGGCTCTGGGAACAGAGTCACAGGTGACTGGCCAGACGGCACAGAGCCCAAGACCTTGGAGATAACCTCAGACAACCCCTTCCTTGCACGGGAGGGGACATTGAGTCTCAGAGAGGGGAAGGGGCTGCTGCATGCTTTTCTGGGGACAAACATCAAGATCGGGCAGTTCTTCCTGCAGGTTAAGGGCTCTCGGGCTGGTCCTGTTGTCATAGTAGAGTCCTACTTCTTCCCAGAACAGCCTGAGTGTGTCTGTGTGCCCACGTGCATGTGCACACATGGTCACTCGTGTTTGTGTTCAAGTGTGAGCATCAAGAGTGCAACCGTGTGTGTGTGCTTGTGTAAGGCTGTGTGTAAGTGTGTTTGCCTTTCTAGGTCCCCCATGCCTTCTCCCAGAGACACACAGGCATGTCCTTAATGTCATCGCTCCTTCCGTCTGCTTCTTAGTGCTTGCCTGGGCTTCTCCTTGCCCACTGCAGGAGGCACCAGCCCAGGCAAGTAAGTGCCTGTGATGGGCAGCTCATTACCTGACAAGTCACCCCCAGAAACCCAAGGTAGGGTGTCTCTCTGCCCCACTGCACTGTGCTGTGGGGGACTCACCAGCAGGGGCCCAGCCAGAAGTGTGTGGTGCTTAGGAACGTGGAGCCTCAGGAGACGGGCTGCCTGGGTTTGAATCCTGGCCCTGCCATTTCCTAGCCATGTGACTTGGGCAAGTTTACTTTTCTTCTCAGAGCCTCTATTTTCTCATCTGTAAAATGGGGATAATAATAGCCTTGCCTCAGGGATTGAGTTTGTACCTGTAAAGATCTTAAAATAATGTGCAGGCCCTTAAGGAACATTAGCGATTATTATTACTGTTATAATTATAATTGATCTTGACCCCCAGGGAGCTCTTTGGAGATGCAAGGGGCTGAAGGGGCTGAAGTCTCTGGCAGCATGAGAGGCTCAATTCCCTTGGTCACTGACCAGCAGGCAGTGAAGGGGCGGGGGCCACTGTTCCAAGAAGGAGTCGTCTGTTCTGGACTGTGTCCCCACCGAGTGGAACCACCTTCAACAGTATTCCCCAGGAGAGGTCTGCACCATTGGAAGTGACCCCTGGCTTTGTGCACGCTGCCTTCCTGGGTCGCTCAGTTAGAGCAATGGCCAGGCCCTGGGAGGCAGGGCAGGGTGGCCAGGCAACTGGAGCTCCTGCTCCTCCCTCTCCGATGGGCCTTGGCGGGCGGTGGGCTTCCTGTTGCTGCGGCTGTGATGCCCCACCTAATGCCGGGGACGGCCATCTGGGCCCAAGGGCTCAGAGAGGGGGCCCGCCGGCCATCTGCCTGCTTGGCGCAGGCTGCTTCCGAAGGGCAGCAGGGCGCCTGCCTGCAGGAGCTGTGGCTGCAGGAGGAGGCCTGGGGGCTGGTTCTCTGGCCTGGGCAGCCTGTCAGGCTGCAAGCTGCTGCAAGCAGCCCGATCCCCAGAGCTTCCTGCCCTAATTTTCCCCACACATATGCACAGGAAGCCTGGCTGTGGTACCTGCCATGTGAGCTCAGGGAAGTCCCACCCTCCCCAGCTGCAGTCTTTCCATCCATACAGTGGGCAGGCTGGATCCAGTGCTCAGACTTCCATCCAGTCGGCGCTGCTTCTGGGCCTTGGGTCTGACTGGGGGTCCATTTTGGTGGGTATGGGAGAGTCTCTCAAATGTGACCAGCTCTGACCCTGGGGGCCAGCGCTCCAGTCAACCGTGGAATTACATGAGTCCTTAAATAACCAACTGCAGATTAGGTGTAGAGCAGAGCAGGCATTCTTGCTCAGCGACAGCCCAGCCGTGGTTCCTGGCATGGTGGTTGCAGGGCGGCCAGACACTGCAGAACACCTCTCCAGAGAGGTGGAGGCTGGCGAGGATGGAGGAGGCAGCTTCTCACTCACTCAGCAGTTTACTGAGCATTGACATATGTCTGACACTGTGCCTGGTCCCGGGGCATGATGGTGACCCGCCCTTTACAGTGTGATACATTCTAGGGTAGGTTTGACCTAGCAGGGAGCTCAGCCTGGCACAGGGGGCCTGAAAAATACCTCTGAGATGTGATGCCTAAGACCTGAAGGAGAAGTTGGAGTGAGTCGGGGTGTTTACATAATCACCTATGAGATAGGTAGCTGCTATCCCTACTTGACGGATGAGGAAAAAGGTTCTTAGACAAATCAATATAGAAGCAGCTTTCCTGTGGTCACCCAGTAGGTAGCAGAGCCGGGATCTGAACCCTTCCTTGTCTAACTTCACATTCCACCAGGCCCCGACATTCTCCAGCTTCCATGGTGTTCCTGCAATCCAAGTGCTGCTGACCTCTCTACAGGTGAGGTTAGGGGTTGGGAGGATGTCCTGAGCAGGGAGCACCAGCTTCTCTGGCTGCAGGAGGGGAGGGAGGGTGCAACTGGCTGCCCTGGTGACCTTTCTTTCCCTTCTGTCCAGGGCTGGAAGAAAGCCGTGCTTCTGACTCCAGGAAGTGCTACGGTGTTGCTGGGCCGGCTTCTGAGCTGTCTGTGGCGTGAGGCTGGGCTAAGTGTTTGGTCACCTGGGATGGGAAGCCACTGGCTTGAGGTGACACAGACAAAGGGGAGCCAGGAGAACCAGTCCTGATCCACTGTGGAGCACCCCGGACCCTGCTCCCTGGCAGCAGGCTCAGCCATAATGCATTGCCAGTCTAGCCCTGCGGTTTCTTTTGCTGGGATAAATTCAGTGGAAGGAGCTGTGTAAAGGCACCACAGGCCCTGCCCCACAGAGAGTCCTTGTCACTTACATGCTCCAAGAGGTCTCAGAACTAGGGGACTTCCTCCCCTACCTCCTCCTTGTCTGGAGCTGGCATTAGGCCCCACAGCTTCCAGACCCAGCAAGGGCATTTACTGCCAGAGATGGCTGGGCAGACCCTCAGTAGGTATTCCACACAAGTGCTCATGGCTTAAACCCAACTCCTGATTTCTCTCTGAGCCAGTCTCTGTGAATGTCCACACCATCGTCCTGCGTCACTCCTGGCCTCCTGCTAACAACCAAATCTATTGACGCTCTAGATCCTCAGCGTCTCCACATCACACGACTTCCGTTGTCACCATTCCTGTCTGCATCCTTGTCTTCGGTCCACCAGATGACCGGCGCGCCTCCTAATTGGGCTTCCTGCACTCCTGCCTGTGCTCAGAGTTCCCTTCTCCACTTGCCTGCTGGAGGAGATTTACAAACAAAATCAGATCATGGCACTCCCCTGGGGCCCTGCAGGTAGAGCTTCTGCGACCTGGCCCTGGCCAGCTTTGGCCTCCCATCCTCCCTATTCCTTCCAGACCCCACTGTGCCTTGGTGTCCCTGCCCTCCTTTCTCCTCCCTGACTTCACCTGCCAGTTCATATCTCCCGGCCTTTGCAGGGTGTTTCTGCTGCAGGAATTCTCTGCCCCTGGGTCTCTGTGTGGTGAGCTCCCTTTCACCACACTCAGTCAAAGTCTAATATTGTCCCCCCACCACCTCTTGCATTCACTCTCCATCCTGTTACCCTGTTTTACTTTTTCAGAGCACTATGTTGTTTGGTTGTCCACCCTACTACCCCAACTAGAATGTAAGCTCCAAGATGTGAGGGCATTTCGTGTCCCATCCATTCTGCATCCCAGAGTCCAGGCTGGAGCTGAGAAGGTGCTCAAGGAATGTTTGTTGCATGAGCCAATTTCACAGTGCTCCGGGCTCCCAGGTGGAAAGGTCCTTGATCTTTTCTTTACCAGGTCTTGGAAACTCCCCTGCACCCCAGAAACTTCCTGGTCAGTCCCTGGTCAGTGTATACTGTGCTTCCTGTGACATGACATCAACTTCTCAGTGACTTCCACTGGTTTTGGCACAGGTCACAGAGCCTGACACCTCTGCAGGGAGTTCTACCAGGTATTCGAAGAGTGCGTCTTAATGCAAAAATAATGAGAGATGCAGGGTCACGAGTCACAGGTTCAAGTTCTGACTATTTCTCTTCTCCATGGTCAGCTGTAAGTCGTCGAGGTCTCTGGCCCTCAGCTTCCCCTCTGGAAATGCTGGGAACCATACCCCTCAGAGCTTCAATAGGGTGGGAGGAAATGCTGGCCAGTGTGGTCAGCCAGGGGTCTGGTACAGGCCTATGCTTAACAAGTGTTGTTTGAGTTTGGGGAAAAAGTCTGCACGATTCTTCATTATCCCAGAACATTGAGGTCCTCGTGCCCTGCCCAGGTATCACTGCTCCCTCTGCCTGGGGCATCTTCCAAATTAGAAAAACAGAGAGGAAAAGAGCAGCCCTGCTTAGGTGGGGCTGGGCGGTGGAAGGGAGGTGGGGTGCGGGTGGTGTGCTGTACTCTCCCACGGTGATTTATAGCGTTTTGTCTTTTGGAAAACATTGCAGTGCAAGGTTGCCCAAGGTCAGTGCCTCTGTTCTGCGATCTCTTTATGAAAAAGGAGAAGAGAAAGTGGGCACTGCTTCCAATTTTTTAAGGAGTTGGCCAAGAGCCAGCACCAGGCATCAGAGGAAGGCAGCTGACTGCACTCGGCCACATCCCAAAAGTGCCTGGAAGGGGAGGGAGGAAGCAGGCGCTTCAGAAGGCACTACTGTGTGCCAGGCCTCATGCTAGGAGTGCTGTAACAGGGAGCAGTGATGGAGTCCTTGAGGTACACCAGACATTGTTCTAAGCACTTTATGGAGATTGACTCATTTCATCAATTTCATTCTCCCTACCTCTATGAATATGTGGTGTTTTTCCCATTTTATAGATGGATTCGCTGAGGCATAGGAAAGCAGAATAACATATCCAGGGGCCCACAGCCAGCATGGATGTTATTTAATTCCAGTCCTGCAACTACCTGGAGATGAGGATCATTATTACCACCACTTTATCCATGAGAGCTCTAAGGCTTGGAGGGGTTAAAGCAACTTGTCCAAGGTCACTCAGAAAAAGGGCACCACAGAGCTGGGATTTGAACTCCACTCTGAGTGACTGCAAAGCAGTGCATCATCCTGTGCTATGTAACTTGGCTGGTCTCCTCGCCTTTTCTCATTTCCCTGAAATGGATGGGTTGGGGGCTGGACACTTGGCTGCTGGCAGTCTTCAAAGATTGCGAGGGATGGTGGGAGCTAAGCCAGCCCCCAGAGCTGCTGTGGGCCCCCCTGATTTCCCTGCTAATGGTGCCTTGGGCTTTATGTGGACGTTGGTGTTTCCAACACAGACCCAGAGGAAGAATCTTAAATCCCTGGTAAACCTCCCTATTGAGCCACCTTCTTTGTTATCAGAGGGATATCAGGAAAGACTCAGATAAAGAGGTAATGTCTGGGCCTCACCACCCCAGAACAGACCCTCACACACCACAGGATGAAGTCGGAGGGGGAGAAGTTTCTGGGTTGGAGCCAGAGCCTATGGAGGACCAGGCGCGAGTTGGCCCAGCATGCTGGCCTGGATCCAGCCTGCAGCCCCCACTCCCTGTCTTCCTCAGGCACCCTCCTTCTCTGCTCTCCCCACCACCATCAGAGCCTCCTCCCAGGAAAGGCTGGGAAGTTTTTAGAACCTGGTAGTCCCTGGAAGTTAGGGTCCTGGTCTCTTTGTGATGATCTCCAAGGCCTGTCATCCTACTATACTGTGGCTGTGTCAGTGTAGGAAGAGCCCAACTTTGAGGATCCAGAGATTGGGCTCTCTTCCCCAACAGTTGCAGCTCCATCTATGATTGTCTTAGGAGACATGGCAACATCCTAGGTTTCACTTTCCTCATCTGTACAGTGGGTGTAATAATGTGGCCCCGGAGCTGACAGATGAGGACCAGATGGGGCGAGGGATAAGAACGCACTCTGAACATGGTCAAGTCTTGACTGGCTGCCCACAGTCGCTAATTTGTTCTACAACCCAGTGGCCGAAAAGTTTACATCATATTGGAATCACGTGGGGATCCTAAAGCATGCTGATGCCTGGTTCCTCTCCTCAAGTGTTCTGATTTAATTGATTTGGGGAACAACCAGACATTGGGAGTCCTAGGGGCTCCCAGGTGACTCTAATGTGTGGTCAAGCTAGGGAACGATAAGAAGCCCCTTCTATTCAGTGATTCCACTGGCTTATTAGGCAGCAAGGGAGCTCTTAGGTCACCATCAGGCCCAAATTTTTCTCTTGGATGCCTGTTCTGCTCTCTGGATTTGTCCTAATGTGTCCTGCTGAGAGTTTAGAATCCTAAACACCTGCTTTTTATGGAATGTGCCTCTGGCAGATGTCTGGGGAGCGGAAGCGCCCCATGATTTTTGCTGACTTCCTTCTCTGTGGAGAGGCTGTGCTGGGGATTGGGGCTAGTGAGAGACTCAGGCCTGATCCTTGCCCTTTGCACACTCATGCAGGGGTCCTTACCTTCTGAGTTCTCTCCTTAGAGGTCAAGGGGAGGAAAGAGGAAGGGAGCAAAGCATGACTGGGCCCGTGCCTCCTGCTCAGAGCTTTCCCATGGATAGGATGTGAAAGCAGGTGAGAAAGGCCTGTCATTCCACTCATGGATGAGGAATCTGAGCCTCTGACAGCTTCAAAGACTCATCCAAGGTCTCACAGATCATGAGTAACAAAATGGGAGTGAACCCTGCTCTGTCTGCTCTCCAAGCGCCTGCTGTGGTGGGGAGGAGAGAGGCGGCAGATGGCAGGAGGTGTGATTCCAGAGAGGCAGGCAGGGCTGGAGACTGGGGTCACTGTTTGGGGAACGGACTGGGTCCAGGGTCCCCTTTGTTCTCTCTCTGCTTCTTCCCTCCCCCTGGGTCCCTGGGTTCCCCAAAGCAGGGGACAGCTTTGGGTGTTTGGGGGAATGAAGGGTTATGAACAGGTGTTTCGTCTCCTGGGTTTCAGTGCCTGACTGTGAAACGGTCTCTGACCTCACTTTATTTGCTTATGGAGTATTCAGGTGTGTGTCAGTGATCTGTGAGAGAGGAAACAGCATCCTCAAGATCAGCCTCAGACTCAGTGGCTGCATCTGAAGGGGTCTAGGAGGCCAGGGCCATGTCAGGACCCAGGACCACCATGTGATGAAGGTGGCCAGGTGGAAGGCTCCCGTCGTTGTGGAGGGCTTTGATGTCAAGTGACAACAATCTAACTTCAGTGGGGGAGTCAGGAACAGTGTTCTGGGTGCTGCTGCTTGAGTAGAGGGTAGAGTCTCTATCTCACTCAGTCTTGCTTTCCCCATCTGTAGAATAGGAGGTGCTGTACGTAATTGTCAAGGCAAGTGCAGGGTGGAGCCTTATAGTGAGGGTACACCATCTTCTCATCCATCCATCCATCCATCCACCCATCCATCCATCCATCCGCCCTCCCATCCATCCATCCATTCACCCATTCACTCTCCCATCTTTCCATCCATCCATCTGTCCACTCATACTTCCTTTTATGCACTCATGGATTCTTAGGAGCTCCTTTGGTGAACCAGCTCTGAGCAGATACTTGCATTGAGATGAGTCAGAATTTTTCCTGCTTCCACGGACTCTCAGACCCAGCACGGAGTCCAGTCCTGTGAATAAAGAGGCCACTGGGGCAGTTTTCAGAGAGGAGACACTGTGTGAGCTGGTTAGAGGTCAGAGTGAGAGTTTGTCAGGCAGGTGAGCAGGGGAAGCATCTCAGGCATAGGGCCTGGCAAAGGCCTAATGTGCTGTGGGGTACTTAGGGCCTTCTGGCCCTGTGGTGGGGCTGAAATTTGGCAGTAGCTACAGCTAAAACTGTGACTGGGGGTTTCTGAGCCAGGGTGGAACATGCTAAGAGACCCTACTTTAGGGAGTGGAGTCTGGTTGACTCTGACAGGACAAGGAGAGGCAGTGGGCATAAGAGGGCAGCCCGAGGCAGGGGGCAGGGCTGCTGGCAAGGCTGATATGCTGGTCTGTCCCATTATCCCCAAAAGAATGTGCCTCCCCTCTCTGTCCAGCTTCTATCTCTCTTTTTTTGTGGTTCAGGAGGCCTGTTCTTTGCCCAGATACGGAGCAGGCAAGAGTGCCCAGCCTGGCCCTGTCATTCCCCATTCAGCCCCAGTGGAAGAAGTGACGCTGTCATTTGCATTTCAAAACCTGTATCTCCCTGCATCTTCCCTTAATAAGAGCCAATTACACCCCTGCCCCAAACCGCAGGTTGTCTGCCTGTCATTGGACTTTTATCCTGTTTGGGATGGGGAAGAACTGCTCCCTTAAATGTCACATTTAGCATATGCAAATGAAGAGATAATTGTCCTTAATGGAAAATGAACTCACCTGCTTGCTGTGAGCTCCAGACAAAAGCAGGCATTGATGAAACGGGCACCAGGATGGGCCTGGGATCTGTGCTTCCATCCCTGCCTTAGCCAGGGGCCCAGCTGGCCTGATCTGTCTCCACCCACTGAGAAGATGACAGTCCAGGGATCTATGCCAGTTGGAAGGTAACACATTTAGAGGTTGTGCCTCCATTTGACAGATGTGGACACTGAGGCCTAGAGGATGGGAGGGATTGGCCCAAGGTCACAGGCTGAGTCAAACTTCTTAGGGGAGCTGAGAATGGAAGTCTAGAGCAGCCCATGCTGGAGAAGTGAGGGCGCTCGAGAGTGGATGATTTTCCAATTAGGCAGACGGGAATCACGAGCCAACCTTGGGATCTAGCACTTGCTGGGAGCATATATCTTTAGTAGATAATGATTTCCAATCTGGGTGTTGTGCCTGGTTATCTGGAAGCTGAGGGAAGAGGGCTGGAGAGGACAGGTGCTTTGGAGACCATCTCAGCACTTGCCCATGGAGCATAATCCTCCCTACCCCTGGTAATATTTCTCTCAAAACCGAGATTACAAGTGGAATGCATTCAGAAGGAGTGAGTCCTCTGTCACTGGCAGTGTGCAAGCGACATGGGAGGGCCCTCTGAGTGCACAGTTGTCCAAAGAGTGGAGATTCCTGGGAGGAGAGAAGATCTCTTTGAGAATGAGCCTCTTCTCATTGGCTAGGGCAAAGCCTCTTCTCATTGGCTAGCCCTTGTGCCCTGAGCTGACGACAGGATGAGGAATTTCAGGAGCCCCAGGCCTGGCTGGGATTTGGAGATTTGGACCTGCTCTGAGACTCAAAGCCTCTGCCTTGTTCTCTAATTCCAGAGGCAGAAGTTTGGACAGTTCCTCATGCCTGAGTCCCCTCCTGGTTCCTGCCTGGCCTTGGGGTCCTGCTCCTACCCCCTGGGGAAGTGGTGGCGCTGTGGAGTTTGAAAACCTGGATTCGAGTCCTAGCATGTCCGCTTGAACATGACTTCTATCCTCTGGGAGCCTCGGCTCCTTCACCAGGAGAGCGGATGTCTGTGATATCTGCCTCCTCCCAGTTTTGTGGGGATGCCGCCAGGGCTCAGCAGATGCCTGGTACTCGGGAGGGACTTGGTGGAGATTTGCTTTAAGAAGCACTGGCTCTGTCCCCTTCCCTTTGCCTATGAAGGGGCCTGACGCCTGCTGCAGCCCTCCAGGTGCTCTGTGCTCTGTCCACCTCCCGCTCAACTGCCTCCTGTTGCCTCTTGCTGGGTCTCCCAGATGGGCAGCTCAGGCCAGCCCCTCAAGCCTGGCTGAACCAGGAAATGCCATGACCTTGGAGAGGAGGCACTGGAAACCTCTGACTCTCTTTCCTCAGGTGTGCTGATGGATCTCAGACAGGATAAAGAACTTACTCAAGGGTCACGCTATGAAGTCGGAGTCATCTGGCCTGTCTCCAGCTTTGAAGGCCTAAATGCTTCTGATGTCACAGTGGGGTGCATCCCTGTGGGACACAGAGGGCTCAGCTGCTCCAAGATGAGGCCATATCCATTGGCACCGGGTGGCATTGGCCATAGGCGGGGTGAGGATCAGGAGGTGGGCCTTGGTCTGTGCAGGGTGGGTGGAAACCCAGCTCCCAGCAGATGTCAGCCCTCACTCCTGCCATTGCTGTTGGCCCTCTCCTCTCTGTCATGGCTTCTCCAACAGCCCCGGCCCCTGGGGCTGCGTAGTCCACTCACATGAGAGATAGGCACCCCAGGCCTCAATCTGACCTTGCCCAAGGTCCTCCAGCTTGTTAACCACTTGGTCTTGGATGACCTCTCTGGTCGCCAGGGTCCTTGTGTGTGATATAGGGACGGTGATGCATACTCTGTGTGGTTTTGGGGAATTTAGATAAGGCAGCTATGAAGCATCCAGAGGCTGAATTCTGGTGGGTGTCCTCATAGATCACACAGACTCCACTTCAAACCTCAGCTCTACCAGTATCCATCTGTGTTAACTGGGGCAATTACTAAGCTCTCTGGAACCCAGTTTTCACCACATAAAGTGGGGCATCTTTTCTCTCTAAAGCTTGGATTTTTTCCCTCGGGGAGTTCACAAGATTGCCCCGGGATAGAATCCAGCAGCAACTGCCTCCTTCGCAGGCATCTTAGACCTTTCCCTCTCGCTCAGCCCAGCCCTCCCTTCCAGCTCACCTTCTTGTTCCTCTGGGCCTCCTCCACACGGGCCGCTCCACACCACGCGTCCTTCCCAGACCCCTCCTTGCTTAGACCCCTGACTAGCCTCTCCTAACGCCATCCCCCAACTCACGCGCTTGACAGGCACCTGTATTTTCTTCAAGCTCATCCTAAATGCTGTCTGCTCTGCCGAGGGGGTGAGGGAAAGCATAGTGGAGATGGTGGCTCTACCTGCCCCACCATAGGACTTAATCATCTAACAGCCCCTCGGACACAACTCGGCTGAAGGTGTCATGTGTTGTGATGTGTTTTCCTCCTACAGCATGAGGTTTGGGCTCTGCTCCTCACTGCCTGCTCCCAGGGCCTGCCACAGTGCTCAGGGAGTGTCTGTGGGAGGGTTTGAAGCTGCTCTGGCTGCCGTTGCGTGTCTGCAGTTAGCAGGGCTGAGCCTTACTCAGTCTACCAGGGGCTACAAGGTGTTACCTCCCTGGGTGTGGTCGTCATTAGGGCTGGTCAAATATCCCAACTGGTTCTTTCTTCTTCTGGTCAGGTGGTGGGATCACCATTCCCTGCCCCGTCTGAGGGGTGTGGCATGTGATTTTCTCTGGCCAATGACAGGGCAGCAGAATCAAAGAGAGTTACTGCTGAGTGGAGGCTCTAGGGGCAGAGTATTACTTGCCATGTTTCTTCCCCTGCTTTGAGGATTATGGAAGCACGCAGTGGGATGAAGCATCTGTCAGCCCACGTGCCACACAGACCCTGCCAACCTAGATCTGACCTGTACCATGAATAAGAAATTGACATTTGCTTTGTTAAACCGCTGAGATTCAAGGGCTGGCTGTTCCTGCAGCAAAACCTAGTCCATCCTAACTGACCCAAGAGGCCATGCAGGTGAATTAAGTATAAGAAGGAGTGGGTTTCAGGTAAGGCCTGAATGGGAATGAGTGGTGGGGATGGGTGTGTCTCACTGAAGACTGCACATCCTACCCAAAGACATTCAAATGCATCACTTTTAAAAACACCACACTAGCTCAATAACACCCATCTGCCAGTGACTCAGACTGGGCCAAAGACCACAACTGACTCTCCCTTCCGTGGGTCTAGGGATGGAGGGCGAGGGTGTGGGCATCAGTCCGAACCCTTCCCACAGTGTGAAGACTTACTCTAGGTGGTGCATACAGGTGGCTCCCGAGCTCTTCCCCCAGTTTGCAGGTGTGATGGCAGAGGGACACATCAGCTCTTCTCTCCAGATGCCCAGGCCGACAGCCAGGGCTGGCTGACTCTCAAGGACTCCCCCAGGCCCTGGAAGGCAAGCCACTGGCTGATGATAAATTCTGTGTTGGGTCAGAGTGGGAGCCCTGACCTCCCTTGAGACCTTGTGGGGAGCTTCCTCCCAGCTCTGGTCTCCTCGGCCTGTCTTCGAGGCTGCCCGGAAGCTGTCTCCCTGTGATTAACGAGCATTTCCCCTCCCTCGGGCCCATGGTGGGGGACGGATGGGATGTGGCTTTGGCTGTTGTGGGTAGTGCTGGGGTTTGGGGAGCCTTGGAGCGTGGGCTGCAGCTGTTTACTTGGCAGGGCCTCACTTGCAGATGTGAGGCTGCAGGGTGGGTGGGGAAGCTGAGGGGTGGGGTAGAACCCAATGAGAAGCCGGGACCATTGCCCCTCCTCAGGAAGAGCCTGTGTACTCCTGAAGCGAGACTCACATTCATTGCCCCATGTTCAGAACCCTGGTTCTCAGAACCTGCCCCTGATGGTGGCCCGGCTTCCTCCAGCTGTCTCCAAGTATTGGTCAAGTTTCTTGCCCCAGCCGCTCCTGGATGCTCAGCCGAAGGCCTCTCTTACTCAAGCCAGTGTGGTTTTGGTTTTAGGGCTGAAGCAGCTTTGGGCTCCGGCCCAGCTCCAATTATCTTGGGCAGTAGAATTTGGGGCTGGGAGAGGTCAGGCATGGAAGAGTTTTTAGCTAATGGAAAGATAGAATTGTGGGCTCCTCCCTGCATAGCTTATCTCAGGGGATGGGGCAGGCCCTGCTTCTTCCTAGAGTGCAGCCATGGGTTTCCAGGATGTGAGCTCAGCAACTCTGGGTGGGGGTCCTTTTCCCACCCCATCTGACACATTTTCTGTCCCTTGTCCGGAGGGACCTGCCAGGTCTTTTTCAACCTAGAACAAAAAGTTGTAGAGGATGCAAGCAGGAGAAGCTTCTCAAGTCACTGGCTGAGTGTGGTGAGATTAGAGTAGAGAGGGCATTCAATACACTCTGCCAGTGCTGGATAGTTTTGTGCTTGTTGACATGAATAATTCATCCATTCCTTCTTCCATCCTTCCAAGCTCATCCATCCCTCTGTTAATTTATCCATCTTCCAATCAAGCCATCTATCCATCCATCCATCCATCCATCCATCCATCCATCCATCACCATGATCATCTAGGTGAGTACTTGCTCTGGGCCAGACGTTGTGTCAGTTGCTAAGATACAGTGATAAACAGTTCATCATCCCTGCCCTGAAAGTGTTCCCAGTCTGGTGACCAGATATTCAAATAAACACCGGCATCTCCTCAGCAATATCACGCTGTAGTGAATGTGAAAGTTGTTTCATGAATCCACAGGATTAACTGACTCTAACTCAAATGTCACCTCTCTAAAATACTTTCTCTGATTCCACTGTGTGGCATGGGAATTTGAGGGGCAGAGAAGAGGGTGAAGGGCATTTCTGGCACATGGACCAGGTGCTGCCAGGCCAGAGTTCTGCAAATACGTAGCATGTTCAAGGCTACAGGGGGTGGGAGCTGGAGAAGGAGCAGTATGAGGGAATTGGCTGGAAGGGCAAGGTGGGCCCGAGTGTGGAAGACTTTGAATGCCAGGTGAAAGCTCTTGGGTTTTAGGCTGTGGTCCTTGAGACACCAGGGAGCAGTGGGAAGCAGAGACCAAGCCTGGTCAGATGTGTATTTTAGGAAGGTCATTGAGGCAGTCATATCTGGGTTTGGATTCAACTCTGCCACTTTCTAAATCTGTGGCCTTGGGCAAGCAAATTAACCTCCCTGAGGCTGTTTCCTTTTTTCCCCAAATGGCGGTGATGCTCTCTACCTCATTAGGTCGTTGGGTCTGTAATGAGATCCTACTGAAATGTACCTGGTGTGGTTCTTGACACACCGTAGATGCCCAAATAACTACCTTATTAAGGGCTCCGCTGGGACGTAGTTAGAATTAGAGCTTGGGTCTTCTGTTGATTCCAACTCATGGTGCATGTTAGAGCTAGTCACTTCATTTCCATGGGCTTCAATTTTCTTATCCACAAAGCAGTCATAAAAGCCCCTGCATGGGAGTGCCATGAGGAGGGTACAAAGTGCTGGGTGTGCTGCCAGGTCAGCTGGTGGTATCAGACTCAGCCAACCAGTGGTGCCCCAACTTGGGAAGGTCCTGGGGACAGCACCAATGACCCTGGGTGGCCTGGCACCTGGCCACTCGAAACTCTTCCCACCCATGAGTGGCTCCCTCACCCCCGCCCTGTCCCGCCCTGCCCAGCTGCTCTGAGGAGATGGCTCCCTGACTTCATGACTGCAGCTGCTAATCCCAGGGAGCAGCGGGCTGAGGCGAGACCCGGCACGTCTGCAGCACTCGGCAGCCTGACTTACCCAACGTGTTGGCTCTATGCCATCCCCACCAGCTATAGAGCGGAGCTGCTGCCCATCAGCCTTGCCTGGCACCCCAGGCTGACGTTGGCTCCTGCCTGACCTTGGATCTCCATGGGCCAGGGAAGAAGTCAGAGAAAGCTGTGTCCAAGGTAGAGCCACACCCATAAGGACCCACTCAACTTGTCCTGTGAGCAGCAGGAAGGTCTTGCACCCACAGTTTCTGCTATCACATATCAGTCTCTGTCAGAGCCTCAGTTGGTTCATCTGCAAAATGGGAGAGATAATACTGACCTCACAGTTTTACGTGGGAGTCAAGAGAAGAAGAGGGAGGGAAAGACATTTGGAGGGTGTAACTCACACGTGCTTCGTGCCTAATGGCAGAGTCACTGAGTGCCTGGCACGGCAGCTCAGTGTGATGGCTTACAATGGGAACACCTTCCAGAAGGAAATAAAGGGTTCTGGGGAAGCAAGGATCAGGCAGGTAAACAGCAACAGCCAGGATCCACGAGTGCCATCCCTTCTCACCTGGCTCTCACTGTGTGTGTACATACATACTCACACACATACAAATGCACAATGCACATATGACACAAACACATACATCTATATTTACACAATATAGACACAGCATGATACACAATGTCCATGTACACCTGTGCTTCAGGATTCACATACGTCACAAGCAAATGCACAGACCCGTGCCCGCCATCCATTTGCACACCTGCAACTCATACATGATGACTTTTCCAGGATAAAAATACCCATTTACTTGTGTTGACCCTATTAGTCCTGTAGCAGAATGTCTCAGAATAAACATTCCATTGTAACATCGAAGCCCTTTAGATCTGTAGAGTAAGGAGGAGACTGTAGAGGGCTCCCCTCCCCATCCTCACTTGCTCGCTTGCAGATGGGGAACCTGAGGCTCAGAGAACCGAGGGCTATGCCTGGCCTGTGACTTTGGTCAAAGCAGTGTTCTTGTTGTGCTCCTGAATGATCCCTTTACTGCCTGCAACTTTCCTTCCCCCTTCTCTGCTCTGGTCACAGGATCTAGTATCTCCCGTGGTTCCCCGGCCCCTCACTTGACCCTCAGCTCCTCATGTGGGGCAAGAAAGAGGTTAAGCCCCAACTTGACAAGCAGGAGCATCCTGTGCTGGGGCTGGCATAGACTGTTGGTTGCCACGGCAGCTGCGTCCTCTGAAAAGACAGCAAAGCCTGACTGTTCACACCAGGAAGGGGGTTGTCCAGGGGCTGGTTTATCTATGGACACCTCAAACCCAGGGCTTATGGATTTCAGTCTTTTGAAGAATATTTGATAGCTGAGAATGAAATGATCAACTTCACAAAATGACTGCAAAATCAAAATTAATCAATGTTTAATTAAATATGTGCATAACGTAACATCGTGTCAACTTGTTAAATTCAGCTCACTCCAGCTCCTATGAAGTTAGATGTAAATGATACTTGCATGAGATGTGGATGCATTCTGATGTGTTTATGTGATGTGGTATGACTTTCTAGAGTGAGAGGGTTAGGGGCTATGACTATTTTAAAACAGTCTGTTACGGCAGCTTGGGGGTGGGGATGCAGCCAATAATAGCTGAGTAGTTACTTTCTGACTGTCCCACCAGTGCCCATTGGAGGCATTTCCAGCACCGATGGATAGATAAGCTAACCTATAGGGAGTGCTTGAGTGAATATTCTAGAGTCCTCCTAGACGATGTGGTAAGTTCATGCAGTGTCTGAGAGTGATCTGCTTGTCTTGGTCTGTCTCCTGGGGGCTGGGGATACGGATGGGGCAAGAAAGGACAGCCTGCAGAAGAGGAACCTGGGGCCTTCACCATAGCCTCCATACCTGAGGCAGGCCCAAGGCCCATGGGCAGATCATCTGGGACATGGTGTTACCGGGTTTTGGGTGACCGTAAGGAAGAATGACATACTGCCTTGCTAAAGAGAATCACAAAGTGACTCACTGCTGCGCAGCACTGGGCTATATCTGCAGAGTATTTGTAGATAATCTTATTTTCACCTTGGAAGGGCAGGATCAGTTTATATACATGGGCAATGGGGCCAGTGAGGTGCAGGAGGGTTGAGTGAGTCACTGAGGTCCTCATTGTTGAGAAAGGACAGCTTTGGGACTAGAGCCAACTCTCCTGACATCTGGGCTGTGTAGAGCTGCCATGACCCACCCTCCGTCATACTATCCTTGGGAGGTACTTTGGCCAAGGCATGGCTCCTTCTGCTCTTCCACATTTGCATAGGGTGTCCACCTCCACTCCGTGGCCCTGTGTCACGCAGCTGTCTGAGCACAGTGTGCTGTGCCGGAGGTGGTTAGTGCTCACAGGAGCCATGGGCTCCCTCACACTTCCCAGCCTCCTATGCCGAGACTGGGCCCAGGTGACTGGTCTGGTCAATGGACTGTGAGCAATGGGGACGTGTCCCTTCCAGGCCCAGCAGGGGCCATTTACCCCGAAGCTAATGGGGCATGGGCTCCAGGGCACCCACTTACTCTAGCCCCTCCCTTTGGGAGGCCATGGATATTTTGTATTTATAATTTCTGTGTACAGTGTTGTGTGAGGTGCAGAGGGCATTTTACATTTAGAATTTTCTCCAACTTTTCATAGAAAGGGCCTCCCAGGCCAGGTGTGGTGGCTCACGCCTGTAATCCCAGCACTCTGGGAGGCCGAGGTGGGCGGATCATGAGGTCAGGAGATGGAGACCATCCTGGCTAACACGGCAAAACCCCGTCTCTACTAATAACACAAAAAATTAGCTGGGCCTGGTGGCGGGCGCCTGTAGTCCCAGCTACTTGGGAGGCTGAGGCAAGAGAATGACATGAACTTGGGAGATGGAGCTTGCAGTGAGCCGAGATCGTGCCACTGAACTCCAGCCTGGGCGACAGAGCAAGACTCCGTCTAAAAAAAAAAAAAAAAAAAAGAAGAAGAAGAAAGGGTCCCCCAAATTATGCAAGTTTCAGAACCACAAAATCTGGATGTGCCCCCGAGGCCAGGCAGCTAAGAGATGCGTACCTCCTCCATCCTGTTCTCCCCAGCTCTGCAGTGACCTTGGAGATCAAAGCCGCACAATGAAGGAGGGCAACCTGCCTGGACACACCTTTATTTGAGTGAGGAGAGAGCATCCTGGGAAGGCACTGCAATGTGGGAACTTATTTGTCACACAGCCTAACCTGTAATGCTGACCAATGCACAGAGGAGGAGACTGAGACTTTTCCTTGGGGTTAGTGCAGGTGTTCCCCAGAGCTGCAGAGACTTGGCACTTGCTTCCCATAGAGACTAGGACCCTATGTACCCTGGTCTGTGGACCCCAAATTCAGTGCCTTGAGCTCAAGAGCCTTGGGCTAAGGCCAGGTGTCCCATAAGCTTCAGGCAGACCAGCAGCATCTCTCAAGGGACCTTCAGAATAAGGAGTTCAGGGCTAAGCTCACAGCCTGGAGACACAGGGTGTGGGCAGCTCTGGAAATATCTGAAGGTGTCTGGTGTCCTCAGAAACATCTGAGTCCCCCTAGCCTGACACCCTCATGGTTGTACTCACAGGAGCACATCAGAGGTCACTGCCTCAGGGGAATTTGTTTCTCCCAACATAAATAGGAATTGGGAAATAGTCAAGCAGCCCTGGTTTCTGATGCAGCTGTTCCCTGGTGCGGCTCTAGAATCTGGTTCAGCTACCTCCTGGGAGAGGGGAGAGGCTGCAGCTAAGCAGATCTGATGGACCTGGCAGGAGGGTGGTTACATCCTGGTGCTCACTCTGCCTGTTCTGGGCTGCAGGGCAGCGGCTGCTGGGGTGGCAGGGGAGGGCGAGGACATTTGAATCAGACATGGAAGAGTCAGATCTGGAAGGGTAGTGGGGCTTTCTTTCTGTTGCCTGTCACCTAAGGCAACATCCTTAATAAGCAGGTCCTTGGACATGCACAGT